TTATATATATATATATATTAAGTTTATTTATATTAAGAGCTCACATAGAGTTGTGGGCCTATGTGAAGATGCTTCATGACGATTTGGGGTAAATAAATATAAAAAATTAAATGTTTTAAATATAATTTAATTTGTTTATTTAAAAAAATATTTAATATTTAATCTTTAATACAATAAATTTATCTATTTAATTATTTAAAAATGTGGTAATTTAGCTGGCCATTTCGCCGGTTGAAATATCGTTTCTGTCCGGTTCAATCTCATTTGATGCAAAAGCAATTTTCAGAGTGGATCGAACCGACCTTGTGATCGGTTGATAGTTAATTTACGATCAAACCAGCCGGCCTACTTTGACTTTTAAAATCTTGGTTCTAAGCATACACTACACAAATAAGATACTATACAAAAAATGGACAGGCAAACAAAAAGAAGATAATCCTAAAGCAAAAAATAGTCTAATTGGAGATAAATATAGAGTTGAGCGTTGTGACACTCCAAACCCCGATGCTACGATGCTGCGAGTCAGCATGAATAATTTTCCTTGTCAATTTTAGTGTTTAACTTGAAGAATTGCATACCTTGGATAGTTTTATGCATGTTTCTTTGTTAGTTCTGAGTGGAAGAGTGAAGAGAGATAATGAGAAAATAAGAGAAATATATCTTATACAAATTCCCTCAATTTTCATAATGGATTTCTTAGTGTGATATGTTTCCATAATTTTTTCCCCGATTTCAATTTTCCACATTAAACCTTATTGTTCTATTTTTTTCGTCTACATTTTCTCTTTCTTATTTGTGTTTTGATGTATGATTTACTTCCCCAACAAGCCTTTCAACAGCTAAAACAAATTTAGAAGGAAATCAAGTAGTGGCAGAAAAATTCCACATAAATATTCTTAAAACTCATTTGGTTGTTTTATAGTATATTTCTGACCGTTCAAAACATGAACCAGTTGTTAAACCCTGTAGTAGCAGCTTAAGCTTTCAAAGCTTAAAATATGTGAACTTTCCAACTAAACTATGATTCCAGTCCGCTTCCTCAAGTCTTAACTGATAAATGGAGAGAAAATTGTAGAAATTTTGATTAATTCTACCCAAAATTCTTCCAAAAGGAAAGAATTGCAAGTTATAAGGCAACCAAATATGATACTGCTAGCCCTTAAAACACCTTTTCCTTGCCTAGTTTGACTTGCAGAAAACAGATGAACCCTTTGAATACTGAAGTACAATGAAACTTAGGTCCCTTGAACCAAATATTCAGCTAATTTCATCTGTTACAGCTTTCATTATTAAACCCTTCAAGAGGCCCTTTCATTTTAACTGTAAGGACATTCTATCCGAGCAGAAATAAGTTCTTTAGATGGAGCTGCAGAAAAAGATATGAGAATGCCAACTATAAACACAAAAGAAACAGAATCCTCGCTGGAATGCTGGGCATGACTAAAAGCAAAACTATCCATTGCCATGTTTTTCCTCTAATCAATAGAAGCCTGTAAGGATATGTCTTAGCTCTGTAATTATACTCTAATGAAACTTGCAGCTTAGCTTCGCATTTTTGGTCTATTGATACTGTCAGCTTTGTCTTTTAAGATGTCCTGCGAGCTGTAATTCTGCTATGATCTCTATGATGCAAACAAGATTTGATGACCATATGTCCCTCTTTCTAATGCAACTTTTCATAATAATTTTGCTTTATATTAGATGAAAAGGAGATGGATAGTTTCCACATCCAATTGATTTAGTGTTTCTTTCAAAAATTTGATATGCAAAGGCTACAAGGCAATGTAGACAAGTGTGAACCACAAACAAGTCCCATAATTTTCTAGTCAAAGAAAAGAGAATAGTTACACATCTCTTTTGAGCAATTATAACAGTAGTAGAGATGAAGCTCCACCACTTAGGCATTCTCCCATGAAGGCATGTTTTTTTCTGACATTAGGATGGGATGGAGGATGAACTTTTGGGTGTTTCTCAGTCTTTTACTCTACTCAGAACAAAGATAGCGGCCGCAACTAGTGAAGTGATCTTAAAGCAAAAGGTGACGCCTATATGTTAGATTCTGAAGTGACTATAGAAAACAACGACATGAGTAGAGAGGCAGTAGCTCCACTACTTAGGTGCCCTTCCATGCCTGTGAACTTCGCTTGTCAAGAAGATGTTGTGGACAAACTTTTGAAATTTTTCAGTCTTTTACTCCACTGAGAACCAACAGCTGCAAGAACAAGTGAAACGATCTTAACACACAGGAGAATGTAATTTTGAAGTAACTTCAGGAAAAGAACACACTCCAATTATATGATTTTTAACTAAGGAAGAACCTTAGCTAAGCATCTACAAGCCTTAAAAGAGTCATAAATGTTTTCACGACTTGCTTCTAGCAATACTTCAGCGATTATTGTAGTACCTGATTTTTCTTAATATGATAACACTATATTTATATCGGTTGCAGATAAATTGCAGTGCAAAGTTTTCTATATTCTATTAAAATGATGATAATCGGATAGATTCAAAGTTTGAATCCAACATATATATGATTGAAACACATACATTAGGACTTGATGTTTAGTACATAAGAATGTTACTTTGAATTGAGAGGAGCACTTGATTAAATCTTATAATATTTTGACAACAATAAGTGTAATTTTTATCATGTCCTTTCATATGGTTTAAATCATTCTTATTGAATAATGAAAACTATCAAATTTCTTATAATTAATTTAATGCAGATTGTTCATGAAGATTGACATCGAATATTCATCGTAATTTTGCAACAAAATTTTTTAATATTAGAGGGAAGACTAACTTTTGTGGAAGTCTAAATTTTGATATGCTTCATTCTGTGAAGATATTTATATTTTTATACTTACATTTTGGGTACAATTTATCTAAATTTAGATTTGATGTTTGTGTTGTAAATAATTTATTTAGATTTGATTACATAGTTTAATTTGTGCATGTCTATGCAAAATTGGATAATCTCATGTGTATGTTAGATAAATTATATATTAAGGCACCTAAGAGTCATATTATTTAAAGTATTTCATGAAATAAATATGATTAAAAAAGCTTAAATGCCAAGGCATTTCATGGGTGTCATATCATCATAGATATTCTATTTGATAAATGTGTTAAGAAAGTTCACCCATTATGGCAACTGATATGTCTATTGTTTTAAATTGTTTAAAATTATGGAATCTGATATGCAAAGCATCATGAGACTTATGCTTTATACGGGAGAAAAAAGTATATGTTTCAATTATTTAATTGCACACAATGAGACATTCCTTGATGCGCATATAATGAGGCGCATGCCTCTATTTCAAGTTTTACATAAAGAGGATGAAACTTCCTTGGTTACTAAATACTTACCCTCAAATGATGAATGATTTTTTAGCATGAAATTGGAGTTTCAATAATTACAAAAAGATCTTATGTTAACTTTTTTATGGAGGAAGCAAGAAGATAGCAAAAATCAATAAGAAAATAACTCAAAATGTTAGTATACAATTTTTTGAGAGAGGAATTATAAAAGGTCAGTATATCCATTGATTTATATAATATTTTGATTGGATATTATTGATTATGGAAGAAAAATATTAATGAGATTGAACATGAAGATTGAGAGGATGTTGAAGCAATAAGGACAAAGGAGACAAGCAATCAATCAACTATAATGATGATTCTAATAAATACCCACTAAGTAACAAAGTTTTAAATTTTGCAATCATATATCAAGGCATTTTCATTTCATAAGGCAAGGGGTCAGCCTCAAGACATTTTGTGGTATAAGCCTCATAATTAAACCATCAAATTAGCAAAAAATATGAAATAATAGGTCACATACTAACATCCAAATAAGAAGTTAAGGTCAATCATTAAAAGTCTAAGTACAAAGTAAAGCCATTAAGATTATATAAAGCTATAAGAAACACTAAAAAAATAGTCTCTCACACTCCAAGTTTAACATAAACAAGTAGTATAAGGCGATAATTTATGAATTCAAAATTTTCAACTACTCTCATCACTTACAAAGTCTTTATTAGAATATCAAAGCAGTTAATTGATTTCTCTCCTTTCTCATGCTCATGCTAAAAATATTAAAATGGATTTCCAACAATAAAAGGAGAGGCGTTGGATGAGAAGCAGTGGTAGTGCGACTATGATGGTGACACAGCAGGCTAGGACATGGACATGAGGGTCCTACAACTGCGATTTTGAGATCATGCGGATCTCAAATTTTGTTTGGTTTAGGTATAATAAATCGGTTTAATTTTATATATAAGTTTATAGATTAAATTTTTTAAATTATTTAAATATGAATTTTTGTGACTTAACCATTTTCAAAATTACGCTAAAATTACGTTGAGGTGTGCATTGAGACGCATCTCACTCCTAATTAGGCGTAAGCCTCTGGTGACAAGCGTAAGGTGTACGCCTCATTAACCTTTTTCTAAATTGCATTGAAATGAGCCTTTAATTGGGTAATTTTAAGCCATGCTAAGTGATAAGAGTGGCAGAGGCTTTTAAATTCAGAGTCTTAAGTCATCACTAGTTTATTTTAAAACATATTTAATTGTTTATATTTTAGTTTATTTTAAAACATATTTAATTGTTTATATTTTACTCGTTTATCTTAGGTGTCTTGCTTATTATGCATGTATGATTTTTATTATGTTATTTCGACACTTCTAGATTACTATTAAAAGTTATATTGGATGAAAACTAAGGTCAAATTTTTATGATGTGAATTATTATCGAGTCCTAAGGAGAATCACAGTCTAATGTTTTAATTTTTATATTTTTAATTAGTTTAATGATTTAGTTTTAAGGCTTAAGCAACTCCACGCAAAAATAAATAGCCTAAATTTCCGGTTGTGAATTTTAAAAAGCTTAGCTAGGTGTGATACTTATCTATCTTTCGGCACAATAATATGCTAGGAAAGCAAGTATGTTGGGTTACCTAATGATGGTAACATTATAAAAGCTATTCCATCAAATTTATGAGAAAAAAAACTTCATTTGTCGAGAACTTAATGATGGCCCTAACCTTATCTCAGCAACAATTTAAATGAAGCCCTTGTCAAGCATCAATAGATTGTTCCTTAGAATACATCTCTTACTGCACTTTAAAATGTCCCAATAATTGGTATTTTTATATATTAATATGGTACCTCGAGCATGATTGGGGGAGCTCCTTCACATAATCGTGAATTGAGTCATATGTGCTTCAACCCATATCTGTTAATGGCGAATGGCGCACCATGGCGCAAAGGTCCCTTTGGAGCCATGGCGCATTTTTAGAACATGGCGCAAACTAAATAAAAATTATAAAATAATAAACATAAATATGAAATATCATTAAAAATGAAAGACAAGCTATCATAATAATGAAAAACAATCATGTGCATGGCGGTACCGACCGTGTACATAGAGGTACCGAGCGTGTACCTAGAGGTACCGAGTATATACCGAGCAGTACCGAGCATGTACATAGCGATACCGAGCGGTACCGAACATGTACATAGCAATACCGAGCATGTACTTAGCAGTACCGAGCATGTACCAAGCGGTACCGAGCATGTACATAGTAATATCGAGCGGTACCGAGCATGTACATAGTAATATCGAGCGGTACTGAGCATGTACATAGCAATATCGAGTGTTATCGAGCATGTACATATCAGTACCGAGCATGTACTTAGCGGTACCGAGCATGTACCTAGCGGTACCGAGCATGTACATAGCAATACTGAGTGGTATCGATCACTCGGTATTGGCAGAAGCACTACTCTGCGGGACGATTCGGCGGAAGCAACAATTTGACGGGCAATTTTGTGCCGTGCGCCATGCGCCATGGCTCACATGTGGTGCAAATAGCGCGCGCTATTTTAAACACATGCGCCTCGCCATGAACATGGCGCCTTAGGTGCGCCGCGCCGTGCCGTGTGCCATGGCGCGTGCTATTTTGCGCCATTGACAAGTATGCTTCAACCCAAGCATTTTTTTTTCTTTTTTTTGGAAGGAAGCATGTTCAATTTTTCAAGCTTTGATGAATCTATTGGAAAATTTTCCATTCACTCCAATGGGAGAGCCAACTTGAAATGTTGGCTTTGACAACATTGAAACATCAAAATGCAAACTTGAATCTAACTAGTTGAGATGAACTTGAGTGAAAGAAGTCAATTGCTTCATTCTACGTAGACAACCAAAAAATTGGCCTATTGTGCCAACCGCAGATACAAGTTGAGAAAAATTTTAGGTCTACATTCCATATTAATTATTTTGAATATGTTTCTAAAGTGGGACAAAGTCTAAGCTAGCATCACATTAATGGTTAAGATTTTCAGAATTTCAATTTTCAGAGGAATTTTGTCCCGTCCCCTCTTACTATAAAAAGATCACCTCATTTTCTATTTCATGATAATTCAAAAATCCATTGGAGAATCCTTTAATAAATTCTTCTTTGGTTGCAAATGGATTTATTGATCATGGCAAACTAAGGGTCATTGTTGCAATAATGGATTTTGTGTTGTAATGTTGTTCATGCACATTTCTCTCACCTTGGGTGCATTCTTCATAGAGCAGTCTAGCACTTCTCAACAAATAAAATTCGGATCATAAAATTAATCTTGAACTTAGGAAGAGGTTTTTTCAGAATGAGCTGGAGAAAACAAGGATGAGTCAAGGATTTCACTTCACCAACAAAACATAAGTATTAGTTATGTTGTCTTGATAAGCCTTGCAAAATGAAGTAAATTAGAGAGATTAATAGGTTTCAACTGACTAAATAATATAGAGTTATTAAGAAAATTCAAAGAAGGGATTTGTCCCTGGATATAAGTACATTAAGAAGCTGAACCACAATAAATGTCACAACCTTTCGGTTTTATTTTCTCTCTCGTTATTGCTAGCTTTAAGAAAAAAAATACTATAGTAATTTTTATATACATACGTTCAACATGCATACACTCACACACTCTTCTTCTGGACAAATTTTATCAAATTTAAATTCTTAGGATTTTTGGAGTTATCACTCTAACCAAAAGGATATATTGATAGAAAGGTTGCACTCAAGACCTTTACTTCCATTTTCGGAGTCTCTGCCTGTAAATTCTGCTTTGGACATAAGGAACTCTGCAATAACCTTATACCCACATATGTCAAGGCTATCAAATACCAAAAAACAGACCCAGAAAAGGCCAGTGATCTCACTGAGCGCACAGAAGATTTCATGTCTTTTAGCTATAAAAACAGACCCTTTAATAGTTCATTAGCATACATTTTTGTGAATTATATTGGTCAAAACAGTTATTGTTAAAATCATAGAGTTAAAGCCTCACATTTATTTGCAGACTATCCAAGTAAAAATAAAACCAATCAGTTGTTTTTAAACATGCACCAATAGCTTGATGTTAAAAAAAAGCCTGACCTCTAAACAGGAAGAGGAAATGTTTCCATCCTTTATCGCAATTTCTCCTTCCCAACAGACTTCTTTGCAGCCTCCTTGACCTTCTCAATATACCCTTCTATAGGCGGAGTCAGGGTAGCCATGAATCGATTTGCCGGAAAAGGCGTGAAGTCCGGCACTAGCGCCGCTGCCTGCAGCTTTTCTGGCAGTGCAGCTATGGCCTCCTTCTTGAGCCTTAAAAGTGTGGTTTCCGCCGCCTGACGAGCACGGTGCTTCCGCATCAGCACGCGGCTGTACTCCTTGGCCAGCCTTCTCCCGTCCTCGACTGTGAGCTTGTACTCGGGGATCTTATCGGCGTCAACTAGGCCCAGCGAGATGTAATCAAGTCCTGGCGTGCCCATAAGGAAGGGCTCATCGTGGGATGGAGAGGCTGCCTTTTGCTTGGCCTGGTCAATCTCGCGTTGGCGTTGCTTGCTGATGAGACCTAGCTTCTCGCGCTCGGCCTCGCGTTGGAGATCCTTAGCGGAAAGGTAGCGAAGAGGAGTGAGGGCATTGAGACAGGACTCGGCCATGCGGGTAAGTTCGCTCTCCGCATTCCTGCCGCGGCCACCGCCACCACCGCTTCCAGCGGGCTTCTTCTTAGGGATAATTGAGCGCTTGAGGGGCTGCCCAGCTTTATCTTTGCCCTTGCCCTTGCCCTTACCTTTGGCGGTGCCGCTGACGGGGAAGCGCTGTATTAGCGAGTGGGTGGATGGGACGAGAGTTCTCAGGTTGCGGAACATCGTGGAGTAGAACGGCAGCTTGGGCTGAACTCGCTTGGGCTAGGGCAATTTGGAGATGTATCCGATCCGGGATAGCAAGGGAATAGCTCCTAAGGGCATCTTCAACCGAACGCTAAACGAGTGTATGGAGTCGTTTCGTCGCTCCAACCGAACGTCAAAATTTTGGCGTCGCACTATTCACTCACGTCATTTTTTGCTCTCAACCGGAAAAACGCGCGAAAGGGAGAGCGATCGTTACCTTCTCAAAAACACCTAAAATGACGTTCGATTGGAGCATCACCGCGCCATTTTGGAGTTTTGTGTTACTTTGCCGTGAAAAATGAAGTTTTCGGTTGCATTTTTCACAAAGTGCCGTGATTCATCTCCGGTGGAACCTCATTTTGCCCCAAATCATCACTCGTTTCTTTCGCGTCTTTCTCATACTAGTTCGGTAGAGAGAAAGAAATGGCGTAAGTGAATAGTGCGACGTCAATATTGACGTTGCACTGTTCAACTGGGATCAAATGGCGAAAGAAATGACGTTCGGTTGCGACGTTTGAGGGCCTCCATTCGGCTATTTGCCAAACGGTTGGAGATGGTCTAAGGCTCACACGTGCACAAATAGGATATGTTGCCTAAACTATGTGGCATAAACCCAATTAATCACATCATAGACAATTATGTTGTTTCAGTCCTCATACAAAATCAAGAACTTGATTTCTCTTATCTCTATTATTTCTGCTGGAGAAATTGAATTTAAATGGTTGGGATATGAGAATGTCTCCCTCAAGTTTTTCATCCCTATCTAAATGCTACCCCTCTTTATTGATATAAATTTATCTCACACAAAGATTATGTTTTGCAATACGGCTCAAAAATCAATGATGCCCTTATCTCTAGAGGTATTATAGTGGATTGGACTTGTTCGTGCTCATCTTAATATGAAACTAACAACCACCTTTTCTTTGAATGTGATTTCACCTTTGGTGTCTCATGTGAAATTATTCCAGCAACTATCAATTTTGAGGCCTAATTCTCTATAGATATTTCATTTCTTTGAGAGCTCACAATCTTACTCGTCCACTGTCAAAAGGCTCTATTACTTTCTATATGTTGTTGTATTAATTTCCCCTAGCATGAAAGGAATCATAGAAAATTTGGAAACTATATCATGAGCAGATCCTCTATTTTGTTTCGTATTAGGAAAGCTATTAAGTGGAAAATTTTAAATTGGAAGAATTTCCCCCATGATTTTGGGATGATTCAATGATTTGGTTGATGTTGGAATCTTGCATGATCTAGCTGTTGGGTATTGATCTGACTTAATAAATATAATATGGAATCTATATGATTTGGGTCTTTCTTGGCAAAAGATGAAAACTTGTGTGCATATAATATAAATAGTTAGCTTGATATGGAGTGATTTTATTTTTTCTTTATTGACTGAATTAATAAGTATATGATTTAATTTCTCTCACAACAAGAGGACAAAATTTGGCCAAAAAGTTGTATGACAATTGTGTTAAACTAGATATGTTGAAGCTCAATAAATTAACCACCATATCTTTGGATATATGTTCCACTTCAACAACAACAACAACAACTCATAGAGAGAATCGTTGCCTTAGATGATTTGGTCACATAAAACAATAGCATTCCAATTACTTGGTTAGAAGAGTAGAGGTATTATATTAGGCCTATGTTAAGAAAGGTAAAGGTAGACCTAAAAAGACTTGGTTAGAAAACATTTAAAATGACATTTCCTTATTAGATTTAATGATAATTTAACTCTTAACATAACATAGTGGAGAAAAAGAATTCATGTAGCCGACCCCACGTAGTGGGATAAAGGCTTCATGTTGTTGTTCTATCTTCCACCTATCACGAAAAAATTCTTTTATCTCAAAAATTTTCTAGACATCCAAATAATTTAGTCAGCTCCACATTCATCATTCATCTCTCCTCATTTGAAAAATAATACTTCAAATTTGCCTTTCTCATTCTAAATCTTTCTCAAACAAAGCACATTGAGGATTCCTTTAAAGTTGTTCTTTATTAAATATGTTCCATGAATATAAAGAAAATGAAAGTGATTATTATTTTACAAAATAAGAAAATATTATAAATTATGCATTAAAATTTACCTTGGATTTAAGGAATGAGCAAAGCGATGTAGACTTGTGTTATTTTTCCTCCACATATCCTCCAAAAGGGTACGAACAAAATAAAAAAAAAAAACTTGAAACTTCATCATTTAATTTTATGTCATGTCTATATGTTACTTATTTCACATTTGATGTCATTGAATCTCACTTCTCATAAGTGTAAGCAAGACTTATCATAAACATGATCTTGAAAAGTTGGAATATAATCAATCTTATCACATCATAAATCATTAAGTTTTTTTTTTTTCTTTCACATGTCTAACCTCTCCAATATCATCCTAATGATAACAATATCATTTCTCACTAATCACTATCAATTGAATATACTTTTAATTTGTTTGAATCATCTTAATATCACATTAATTGATGTAAAATGAGTTCCAATCAAAACTAACATTTTCAAAATTGAGAAATAATTAAAGATAGAAAGTCTCATATAATGATTCATAATAATATTTCTGATAAAAAATGTATTTGTAGAAACTACTATAATCCAATAATTCTTATTATAAGTGATTTTATTTATCTCAGTATTTTTAGCTATATAAATAATTTTTAAAGCAAGATTGAGGGTATGCATAATACATTTGTCCAAAAGATGTAATGATATATTTGCTCAACAAGAAAGCATGCTACCTTACAAACAGGAGCAATATTAGTAACAAATTGAATAACATTTGAAGGACCAACCATCATTATCACTTCTTTAATCAAATTAGAAATGAAAATTTTATCTTTATGTTATTATGTATAATTTATAATTTTAATGAATATTGGATATTTTTCTTATATGATCATAAAATTGATAAATGGTCTTCTTTAAGGGTCAATCTAGCCATCACACACCAAACTCACCCATTTCTCCTTCCATGTTTGTTTTATAAATTCAAGTAACTTCTCAATATTGAACTTTTTTCCTTGCAATGACTTTGATATAATGGCATTGTACCCTAATGGCATAGTATCTGCAGGATTATTATTACAAGAAAAAGTAAATGCATTTTTTCCAGTAAAGATTTCTTGTAAGGTTGAGAAGAAAGATAAATTCAAGTAACTTCTCAATATTACCCTAAACCTTAATATTAGGTTCCATTGAATCTTCACCACTTTCAAATCCACCACCGCTAGAGATTATCATCTTTTTATAGCAAAATTCATAATTAGTATACAATATATAATTTAAATAGATATACCAAAACTTGTTTAAATATTATTATTTCATTATTAAAATCAAACAAAATTTTGGCAAAAACTAACCCTTGGCTTATTTTTCATGGGAATATGGTGACCTATCATGTGGAGAAAAACACATGGAATCCAAAAAATAATGATTGGAAATTAGACCTAAAATTTCTTTCATTCCATTTTCCTTTCCTCTCATTATCTTTTCTCAACTATAGAAAATCTTCTACTACTTTTCAAGCTCCTTAAATAATTGCCACATAAAAATGTATACATTATGAAGCTCATAGGTCATATGAGAGAGAATGGAGGGGGGAGAAATGTCTCTTACACTAGTTTGAATATGAGACCAATAAAAAGAAGACCCTTATATGGGGTTTAAATGATAATAACCAACATCAAGCGGAAATATACAATGAAAGAAAACTAGGATTTAATGTTTAGTTATAGTTGGTCACATGTCTTATTTACTATAGAAAAAACATTGAAGAGGAGAACATGTACTAATAACACTAAAATCATGAGGCTAGCAAGGTTAAATATGATTAAGCTATAACAATATTTGATGCTAACCATTATTCACTAAACATTATATTACTTTTGTATGTTTTGAGTGTTAGAAATTAAGTATTCCTCAATAATCGATACTCACGGAAGAATCATAGATGCATTGCAAACTATGAGAGAAAGAGGTCCTAATTTTGAAACTATAGTTATGAGCTTTAGCATCAAGAGGGCAACCAGCAACAGGCACATTTTTGTGGGTGTGGGTACACATCATCTATGTCGAATGTAGTGAAACCCTAGTTGTTAGCCATGAGAGAGAAAGAAAAAAAATGTTTAAGGGATGATCAAGTGAGTGTAAACTATGAAGAGGAAAATAAGAAATTTAGATTTTATTATTTCAATGTAAAAAAAATGAAATACTAGAATATTTAAAAATGGTATTATTTATAAAATACTTAGGACACACATATTTGATTTTTTATATTATTTTAATCAAAAATATTTTCCCTTATTCAACATGTTTTTGAGGCATGTCAAATGCTTCTTTATATTAGGCACATGTCGAATACCCCATACATAAATAAGGAGAAGTGTCAGTGCATCATATGAAGCCAATTTCCATCCTTGAGGCTGACAAAGCTAATTTCTAGCCATTTCAATCAAATGGACTAATTGTGATGATGCCTCATAGTTTACCAAATTGCCTTGAACTCAGCCTAATTGATTTGGGGTGTACAATTTATTTATTATATTATTTTGGAGCACTCTATGTGTAGCTTCTAGTGTTACAGTGCATTGATTTGGTCTAAACTTAATCTGGTAAGTCGATCCAATGCATTTTAATTTACTACACTTCCATTCTATATGTGTCTATAAATCTTCCATATATGTGTGAAGGCATGAATTTGGTTCTAGAGTGTATCTCACGAGTAATTATTACATCCGAACAAAAAACAGGAAATCCGGACGTATACCGAGCAATACCGAGTGCTCAATACCAAGTTTCAGGTGATGTGGCGTGTGATTATTGGTCTCTGTACACGTTAGGTGACCTGACGTAATAATTTCTTATATCTTACAGATCTGTTTGTGAAAATTTTGAATTTGAGAAATTTTCCCACTCTGTCATTTTGGTTATTTATTAAGACGCTACAACGATGAGTGACTGAGCACTATAGTGTTAGTTTTTATTTGGGCTATTATGACATTGGTTCTTGGTGTCATGGCATCATGTTCTTTG